CCTCCCCTCTAGAACCCTCAGTTTGTTTTTCAGAGTCCATCGTCTCTCATGGTTTGTCTCCCCCTCCAACTTACTCCCCTTCATTCTTCCCCTCCTGAGGGGTTTCTAGGGACATCAATTTGTCATATGTCCTTTCAGACTTTTCTGAAATTCTTAGAGTTATATATTTATATAATTATTATAGTTTAATAGAAATACATGCCCACACATTTAGTCACTTGTTTTTTTCACTCAATATTATGTCTTAGAGCTCCTTTCTTAGAGCTCTAGAGTGCTATGTAGGATTGCATAAATTATTCATCTCACCCCTCTGTTGGGGACATTTATGAGAAGATTTGTAGTTATGATAGATATTGCTGAACTGCCTTTCAGCATCTCTGTACTGATTTACCTGGCAGTGTGTGTCAGGACTAGTGAGCCCTATTTCCTCCTTTTTGATAGCTGTATAGTATTCCATCACATGGATGTACTATGATTTATCTAAACATTCCTGTCGATGGACATTTGTAGTTTGGGAGCTTTTGCTATACTAAACATGATGTAGCAAACATCCATGTACACTGATTTTTGCTCACATGTGTGGATGTCTCTCCAGAACAAATTTCTAAAAGTGGTGTTGCTGAATCAAAGACCATTTGAGTTTTCATAATTTAATTAGCTCGCGGCAAACCGACTCTTACAGATGGATTTTCAGAGTGCCAATTTCCTCGCATCCTCACTGACAGTGTGTGTTATGAAACTTTACAACTTTTGCCAAGCTGGTAAGTGAATATAATACTTCGTTATTCTAATGAACATCACTTTAAGTATGGGTAAAACTGAGCATTATTTTCACATGTTTATGAACCATGAATATTTCTTCTTCTGCAAAGCATCAGTTTGCATAATTTGTCCTTTTTACCTTGAGTTTTTTTGTTTTTTTTCTTATTGATTTATAAGGACTCTTTAAAGAGAATTAATTTCTTCTCTGTTATGCAAAAATTATTTCCCAGGATGTCTTTTGACTTTATTTTGGTTTTCATTCATTTCTTTGTAATCACATTTATTAGCTTTTTTTTAAAGATTTTATTTATTTATTTGACAGAGAGAGACACAGTGAGAGAGGGAACACAAGTAGGGGAGAGGGAGAAGCAGGCTTCCCACTGAGCAGGGAGCCCGATGTGGGACCCCATCCCAGGACCCTGGGATAATGACCTGAGCTGAAGCAGACGCTTAACTGACTGAGCCACCCAGGTGCCCGTTATTGGCTTTTTTATAGCTTCTGTGTTTTTTTTTTTTTTTTTAATTCTTGGAAAAGCTCTTCACACTCTAATGCTAAACTATAAAATTTGTTTGTTTTCTTCTAATGGATTTATTTATTGAAAAATGTTATTGAACTTAAATTTTATTTAATATTTTTATTATTATTTCTTACATTTAATCTTTCTTCCATATTAAATCCATACTGGTATAAGTGCTGAAGTAAGAATCTATTTTTTTCTCCAAATGGCTAATTATTTCAACAGAATTTGATACATAGTTTGTATTTGTCTTAGGATTTTAAATAATAGCAGCTTTACAATAAACTAAATTTGTTCATATATTAGGGTTTATTTCTGGACCCCATTCTGTTCTATCTATTTATATATTCATACATAAGCACTAAGCAGTCTTCATTATCATATTAAAAACATTTTCATACTTGATAAAGTTGGTTCTATCTCATTACTTTGCATTTACATTTTTTCTTGCATTTTTATTTTTTTCATTTGAACACTATGATTGGATTGGGTAGTTTGAAAAATACTCTTGACAGTTTTAATCTGTTAGTTATTTGGGCATCAGGTGTCAAGGATGAAGTTAACCATGGCCCTTTATTCATGACTAATTATCATCATTTTTGGGGGCAATACTTACTTATTCCCATTCAATCCAATTCTCTACTTCCAGCACTCCACCAATATGATTCTAGAGCATTTAATCGACTTTTATTTGCATAATTTGTTGTTTTGGGTAGATGTATTTTAAAATTCACAGATATGTGTTATATCACAGATCTCCTGCTTGCTCTTACTTTTTTCGGAAACATAGCACTATGACTTTATTTGAAATCCCTGGTTCTATGTTATATTTAGGTTATTGCTTTGAACTGTCATATAGAATTTCTCTCTACAATCCTTTAGAGTTGAATATCCAGGAGGTTTCCATCTCATTACTGCAATGAACATCTTGGTGTGCATGTCTTTATCTACCTGTCTGAGAATTTCTCTGGGTTCTATGCCCCAAGAGCCACGTTGGTAGGTCGTAAAACACACATTGCCTTTCCTTGACCACACTGATGCCTTCTAGAGTGGTGGCTCAGGTTCATACTGTCACTATCAACGCATGAGGTCTCTCTACCCCTATGCCTCAGTTACTTAATCCTCACCATCACCCATCTTGTTAATTCTCCCCTCAAATAGATGTGAGGTAATATCTCATTACTAGATAATTTCCATTTCTCTCATAACTGGCGACTTTGAGCTTCTCTTCATGTTTTAAATCTCTGAGTTTGAGCTCCCATGAATTCTTAGATCATGTCCTTTGTCTGCTTATCTCTTGAGTCCCTGTCATCTCTCTTGTTGATTTGCAGGAAGTCCTTGTATATTCAAGATATTGTTCTAGATCCATACATTTAGTGCGGATAATCTTCTGTAAATCTCTCATCTGAATGTTAATTTGGTCCAAGGTGTCTTTGTTAAACAGAAATCCTTAATTCTGTGCACAGTTTTCCTTTTTTTTTTTTTTTCTGTCTTCCAGTTTATGTTTTGGGGGTTTTAAGAATTCCTTCCTACTCATAGGTCCCAAAGATGTCATCTATGTTATATCTTCTTTAACTTTATGGTTTTACCTTTCAAGTATAAGAGAAGACTCCATCTTCATGTAGAGCGCATGATAATCCAGTTCTTTTTATTTCCACATCATCATTTGTCTGAACCATCCATTGTTCAGGGATTGTGGGGCCTCCTTTGCCAGATGCTACGTTTTCAACTATTCATGTGCCGGTCTTTGAGCTCTCAATCCTGTCCCATGGGTCTGTTTTCCTGTTCTTGCAACAGTGCCATGCTGTTATTTTATTTTATTTATTTTATTATTACCATACTTTTATAATAGGTCTTAATATTTGGTAGATGAATTCTCTTTCTTCGATCTTTTATTTTTAAATTGACATAGCTCTTTTTTTTCTTTATTTTGTTATGTTAGTGACCATACAGTACATCATTAGTTTTTGATGCAGTGTTCCATGATTCATTGTTGGCGTATAACATCCAGTGCTCTATGCAATACGTGCCCTCCTTAATACCTGACATAGCTCTTGAAGTTTATTTTTTTTTCAAATTGAATAAGATTACTGAGTTCAAAACAACAACAACAACTTGATTTTCCTGGACTGCCTTGAATATATCAATTAACTCACAAAGAATCTACGCCTTTATAATATTAGGTCATCCCACCTTAGAGTGTGGGTCTTATTTGTTCAAATAACCTGTTAAGTCCAGTATATATATTTTTTCCTTTTCAGCTAATTGTATACCTTAAAAAACTTTCTTATGCAAATGTATTAACACTTTTAAGGATACCCCGTGAATGTTGTGCTTTGCTCAGAAATGCTTCTAAAAATACTAGGCTAAATTTCCTTCTAGTGACTTTTGTGTTTTTGATTTTCTAATGCTTAAATCTTTGGCCCACCTGGAATTTATTTTGGTATAGAAGTGAGGGTCAGAGCAAGGTGGGGAGAGGGTCTCCAGGGGCAGCAGGATGGCTGGGGGAGTCTTTGATTCGATCCCTGAATAATTGTTGGGGGGCTTCCTTAGGGACGACCTGGCCCAGTTGCCCTTCCTGACCATGTGCATCAAGGAGAGTCTGAGGCTGCACCCCCCCGTTACAGTCATTGCCCGCCGCTGTACCCAGGACGTCGGGCTCCCTGATGGCCGGGTCATCCCCAAAGGTGTCCACAGCATCAGGGGGAGGAGGGTGGTGGTCCCATCCGCTGAGACCTTATCCTGACTGTTTCTCTTCTCCCCCATAGGGAGCAAATGTGTCATCAGCATCTTTGGGATTCATCACAACCCGTCTATCTGGCCGGACCCTGAGGTGCTTCCCTCCCTCTTCTCCATCCGGTGACCCGACCAGGGGGCGGGGTCCTGACCAGGGAAGTCAGACACTGCCCCTCCACTGTATCCACAGCTGTCTTTTCTAGCGCTGTCTGGGTATCTTGAGAAACCCCACCCAGCAGCCCTGCCTCTCTCTGCTCCCAGGTATACAATCCCTTCCGCTTCGATCCAGAAATCCCCCAGAAGAGGTCTCCCCTTGCTTTTATTCCCTTCTCCGCGGGGCCCAGGTGAGCGCAGCAGGCATCCCAGGTGGGAATGTGGTGGTGAGGGCAGGGATCTGGGACTGAGAACCCAGACATGGCTGTGGGGGCAGGAAAGGGGGGAAATTGAGGATGGCTCTCCTTCTCTCCCCTCTTCCAGAGGTTAGAGGTAAGGGTCTGGGGAGTGGAGGTTGGGTGGGTCTAACAAGGGCTCCTCGGTGTGGGCAGAGCCCCTTCCCCCTGTCTGCTGGCCTGAGTTCAGGGGCCAACCTCAGGGGATAGGCAAGCCCACATGGGGGTCCCAGGCATGGGTCAGCCCTCTTCTGGATCCCTGCGGGCAGGGCTGGGGGTCTTGGGCCAGGTTCTGGGCGCCATGGGACCTGCTGGGTCCCTGGCGAGTCAGAGACGCCACTTCCGCCCTCAGGAACTGCATTGGGCAGACGTTCGCCATGACTGAGATGAAGGTGGTCCTGGCTCTCACGCTGCTGCGCTTCCGGTTCCTGCCAGACGAGGAGGAGCCGCGCCGGAAGCCGGAGCTCGTTCTGCGCGCAGAGGGTGGGCTTTGGCTGCGTGTGGAGCCGCTGAGCGCGGGGTCCCCGTGATTTTGCGAGCCTGGCTTGGGATCCACCCAGAACCTACACGCCTTGCTTTGTGGATTCCCAGGAATGAAACTTTGCAGTCTCCTCTGCCAGAGCCTCATCGAGAGCCAGCAGGGGTGGGCGAGGCGGGGTGGAGAGGAGGCCCAAGACCCTGAGAGCCTTTCCAGATGACCACAGGCCCCCATGCTGATTGCTGGTTCTACCAGAGCCCAATCAGGGAGTTTATCCTGTAGGCAATAGGGAGCCATGGGAGGTGTTTGAGCAAGAGAGGGACCAGGGTTACGGACTGACTTAAGGGCATGTTTGAGGCTCTGGGTCACAGAGGAGAACCCATAGTGGCACTACACTCTGATCACCCTGACCTCTGTTCCTATCTAATATACCCAAACTTCTCTTACCTCAGAATCCTTCACTATGTCAATAGTTACTATGTTTACTTCAACAAAGCAAATATACTTTATCCTGTGTGTCTAATCATTGCAGTCACTGTATCTGTTATATAGTCTGTTGTTTTTGCTGGTTTTCACTGGTAGGGTCGTCGTTCTTGTGAGCCTGGTTATCTTTGCCTGAGTACTGGTTATCATATTTGAGATAAGATTTGCAGAATTTGAAGAAGGTAGCTTTCTCTAAGGAGGAGGTCTTGGAGCCTTGCTGATTGAAGATTATGTTAAATGAAGTTCAAGACTTGTGGTGGCCAAGATCAGGAAGGCAGTTTAAATTCTAGTTGAGATCACACTTACAGGCTCCTCCACTCCTCTCACTCTGAGGGGTGTAGCTTTTTGAGGTCTCCACTTATGTAAGGAGGGTCTTCTCACAATTTCTTTTTCTCATATCACTATAGGCCTTGATTTTTCTCCCCTGACCATGAAGCCATCAAAACAGCTTCACATTTTCCTGACTTGAGAAATGTCTCCAGGGCAAATGTGTAATTGATGTTCATTTAGTTCTAGGCTTCTAGTTCATTTGAGTGGTGTCTTTGTAATTCTTTACTATCTTTTCTGGTCATGTATTCATTTAAGAAATTGGAAAAGTATCCAGCTGTGAGAGTTGTTTTTTAAAAATTGAAAGTTTAATCCAAGTAACCTAGCTTGTCATTAGTGGGAACAGGAAGTCTCAGTTGGAATTTTAATGGTCACGATCCAGTTATTACTCCACTCTTGAATGTATTGAGGGTGAAAATTGCCTTTAAGTGTACAGATTCCTGGACCACAAAAAAGCTCACATCAGGGCTTGAGGGAGAGGACAGCACATCACCCAGAGACCCTGGAACCTGGGCTAAATGGAGGGAGCTGGTGCACTTTGAGGTTGACTCCCCTAGGGGTGTTCCTTGTATAGGAAGAGGAGTACACATTGGATGCTTTGGTAGTCAACAGGATGGATGGTGTCAGAGACTGCTGTGTATCCTGATGTTCCTTTTTGCCTTCCTGTAATCCTTAGGTTTTTGTTAGGTGCATGGCAGGCTGAAATACAGATAGCATTTGAAAGCTTTTCTTGAAACGAGATTGGCTAAATGAGTATGTATGCCCTGTCCCATGTGGAAAAGTTAAAGAGTACCTGGTAATTCTGGAAACTCTGCTGGAGAGAAAGCTGGACATTCTCTGTCGAGTTTCCCCTTTCTTCTTCTCTGTTTCTTGGGGTGGTGTGGGTAGCTGGAGCTCCCTCTTGGATTAAGAGGACAAGACCACTCTTTAGGAAAGGTGGGGCAGATAACTAAATGCAGTGAGGGTCCGATGACCCTGATCCAGCGCACCTTGGAGTTGTATTACCAAGATCACAATCCCAGTCTGCTATTTCCTAGCTGTGTGGGTTGGGGAAAATTGTTGATCTCTCTGAGCCTCAGTTCCGTTACCATATAGTAAGAGCCACCTTACTACACTGATGGGGAGATTGCATAAGCAAGCATGTGCAACATCACTGAGTCAATATCTGGTAAGCATCAGTACTCAGTGAGGGTTAATTTGTTCCCTTATGTCATCTTTTTGCATCACGTTCTGAAATTTAAAAAGCTTTAATCACAGAAGTTAAATTTAAGTATTGGTAAATGTGGCAACCTTCTGTTGAAGAAAACTATCATTAGAAGACCCAGTTAGTTGTAAATATCCATAGTTACCTCAGAGAAACTCCAAGGGCCTTTGATGGCAAGCTGGTCTTGGAGCTAGGAACTGAAAAAAAAAAAGATTTTTTTCCCCCTTGAGGGGCATGAACCTGCCTTCATTTTTGCTTAAATGTTTCAAGATGTGGAGATTATGTGCGTCCCAATAGTGAGGTGGGGAGTTGAACCACTTCCTTCAGCACCTGGAACAGTGGCTGCCCCTGGACTCCTTCCTCTCAGGCTGTAGGAGCACCCCCCTGGGGTACAGTGTCTAGGACCTCAAAACCTTTCTGAGGCCCACAGATTGGGGGCCCTGGAGGCTTACAGACTGCAAAATATGACAGGAACATTGCAACATGAAATGAATAAATATTTAATGTATTGTAAGCTGAAAATCACATGTGTTTTTCTTTGCCAAGTTCTTAATTTAAATATTGTTTGTATTCCCAAAATGTTATGTCTTCATAGGAGAAAACACAAAGAAGAAAAAGTAAGAAATAAAAATCATTTTTATATCCATAATTCACACATATCAAAATAATCATAGTTCATATTTTCTCACATATACATCCAGCTTTTATTAATATATATAATCTTTATACAAGTAAAACAATGTTATTTACATCTAAATGTATTATATTTACATGTAATTTTCTGTTTAAAAATGCTGTTTTACTGGCTAATAAGCACATGAAAAAATGCAACATCATTGGTCATTAGGGAAATGCAAAGCAATGCTTCATGTGATACCACTTCATACCCACGAGGATAGCAAGAGTCTGAAAAGGGGGAAAATAAGAGGTCTGGTGAAGATGTGGTGTAGTTGGAACCCTGACCCATTACCGGTGGGAACGTAAAATGGTGCAGCCCCTGTGCAAAACATTTGGTGTTTCCTCAATAAATTAGGCATAGAACTATCATATGAGGCACTGATCCCATGCCGAGGCTAATACCCTAAAGAATTGAAGACAGGTGTTCAAATAAAAGCTTGTACACAAGTTCATCGTGGCACTATTCACAACTGTCAAAAGTTGGATATTTGGGAAACAATCCAAATATCCATGATCAGATGAATGGATAAACAAAGTGTGGTATATCCATATCAAGAATTTTACTGGATTATAAAAAGTAATGAAGCACTGATACATGTTACAACATGGATGAACTTTGAACTTTGAAAACTTTGAACGCTTTGAATACTTTGAATACTGAGTGAAATGTCACATATTGTATGGTTCCATTATATGTAATGTCCAGGATAGGAAGATCCATAGTTATGGAAAGGAAAGCAGATTGGTGGTCACCAAGGCTGGAGGGTGGGAGGGGGAACTGGCAGGGGAGGAGGTCTCCTTTTTGGGTGATGAAGTGCTCTGGACCTAGTTAGAGGTGGTGGTTGCACAACACTGTGAATGTACTAAATGCATGAAATTGTAAGCTTTATAATGGTTTACATGGTGAATTTTATGTTATGTGCATTTTACCTCAACAACAAGGGATTCTATTTTCTCATATATATTTTTTGTTAATCTGGGTTTTTCAGATAATAATATATTGTGAACATCTTTCCATGACATTGAATCATCTTTCCATGACATAAAATCATCATTTTGGAGTCTTTAAAATCCCTAAGTGTTAAGTTTCAAGCCACTTTTAATTTTTTAAAATGGCATTATATTAGAAAATAATTTAAAATTTTGTCTCGGGGGGCACGTGGGTGGCTCAGTTGGTTGAGTGACTCTTGATTTTAGCCCAGGTCATGATCTCAGGGTCGTGGGATCAAGCCCCCTGATGGGCTCCCTGCTTAGCGGGGAGTCTGCTTGACATTCTGTCTCTCCTTCTTCCTCCACCCCTCCCCCTACTCGCGTGCTCTCTCTAAATAAATAAATAAATAAAATCTTAAAAAAAATAAAATTTTGTCTTGCTTTGCAAAAATTCTTTTCATGCACATTGATGGCTTGAGCTATCACTATCAATTATAAATTGAGTTATTCTCAATCAAATAACTTTTTTCAAAAAATAATAGACTTTATTGTTAGTACATTTTATTTTTATTTTTTAAAAAATTTACTTATTTATTTTAGAGAGACAGAGTGAGAGAGTGGGGGAGGGGCAGAGGGAAGGAGAAACTCAAGCAGACTCTGCACTGAGTGCAGAGCCCAACATGGGGCTCAATCTCACCACCCAAAGATCAGACCTGAGTGAAACCAAGAGTCAGATGCTTAACTGTGCCACCCTTATTTAATTATTTATTTTTTAAAGTAGGCTCCATGCTGGGCCGTGCAGTCCAGTGCAGGGCTTGAACTCAAGACCCTGAGATCAAGACCTGAGCTGAGATCAAGAGTTGGATGCTTAACTGACTGAGCCACCCAGGTGCCCCTGTACAGTTTTAATTTTACAGAATAATTGAGCACAATAATATAATTCTGTATAGTTCCATATACCCCCCAACCCCAACACCCAATACAGAATTTGCCCTCAAATAACTTTTGATATTGAAATTTTATTTATATAGTAATAGATACACATACAGTTGAGTAAGATGTGGGTGTAGTTAAACACCTTTCATAGAACACGAATGACCTGGCAACGCCACACACACTGATGTTTTTGGTCCTATTAACAGCAGTACGCCACTGAGAAGGGAGAAGGTAATACTTCAGCTCCCCAGGTAAACACTGATTTCATCCTCTCACCAGTCTTGTGGATTGGAGAGATTAACTCACTTGCTCAAGGTCACTCGGTAAATGATGGAGTGGGGGTGAATTTGATCAGCTTGGCTTCAGAGGTGCATCTTAACCTACAAAGGAAGTGATTTTCAAGGTGTGTCTCAGCCCTTGATGCCTCAGATCACCTGGGAACCACTCCAGCCTCACTACATGAGATTCTTTGACAGTGACTAAATTTTTAAATG